ACCAATCGCCCAACAAATATGCAGGAGAAAGTGGAGATGGATCGGACACTCGCTGAGGAGACCGCTGGGTGACATCGCGCGTCAAGCCCTCGAGTGGAACCCGAAAGGGAAGCGGCGTGTGGGACGTCCAAGGGTGACATGGAGGAGATCGTGTGAAGAGGAGTTGAAAGAATATGGATTAACATGGATGCAGGCGAAAAGTATAGCAGAAGACAGAAGAAAATGGAGACGTGCAGTTGAAGCCCTATGTTCCACTAGGAACCCAAGGGAGCAATAATAATAATAAATAATTTATACGACTTCTTAACTTGGTTTATGTAATTCTTTGATGCCTTATACTTTTAGAGTGTTCCTAATATTCAATGTTGATGTTGTAGCATTTCTATTACATTCATGAATTGTTAATCCTGTATATCTAACTACACTACTTTTTAATGCACTCATCTTGTTGTCTGGTTGTAAGCGAGTACATCTATACGAAGAATTCAGCTTTTTTCCCAGATCATTTAGCTTAGTGGGACCTGTCAACAAGATATTAAAGTAACTAGAAAGTAAGTTTGATAAGAAAACTGGTCGTCACAAATTCAGTAGCATCTGTTCTTTGTAAAATGTAGTTTTCCATAAAATAAGTAAAACAATATCCTGCTTCGAGTTATCTTGCTCGTAAGATTGGGCGTATTACTGAAGTGATGTACTTACAGAAAATTCGATCAATTAATATACATTTATTCTTTAGCTATACACCCATAAGGAAGTATAAATGAAATATACTAAAATATTGGGCTCAGTGTAGGGTGTGCTATTGATAACATTTATCAGTAATATGTAAAGAGACATTCATCGGCATAGGAACATCAAATATCAGGGAGACAGATTGGATGTCAGAGAAAGCAAATGATACAGAGTTACGGAGATGCATGGAGGACGTGAAAGGAACACAAAGAAACACAGTATGGAGGTCAGAAATAGCACAACATGGAAGATATGTGCAAATGGCGATTTGAAGATAAGGCATACACGATTTGGCTAAACATTCATTTACCAAATCTCTTGTCTTCTACCTTTGCAATATGATATGAAGAAAAGGTTTATTCATTGATTGCATGAAAGTTAAACCGGATTCTTATGCTCACACACTGTTTGAGAACACTTCTTCCAAAATCACTTAATACTGCAAGCTTTATCTTATACAATAAGTCAGTTTTGACTGCCAGAAATAAATATAGCTGATTGATTCGGTTTTTCCCGGAGTACATTTAGCACTGTAAAGGTTCCTATACAGGGATACTTGTCAAAAATCCAAGTACTATTTATAATGGATGTTTAAATGTTGAACAGAAACTACATAAACCTCTCACTTGCTACTTAATCAGTGTGAACAGGGAGTTTACGAGTAGTCATTGCATACCATATAGTCCTACAGATAGCTATCACACCTCTTTATCACACACGGAAGTTGTAAGGTAGAAATTTCCATGTATTAAAGCTGTTAATTAACCCCCAAATTCGTCTAACATTAACCTTCAACCTTAGAATAACTCTTTTTCTGTTTTCATACATCCATCTTGTTTTTCCCACTCTTTCTCTAAGCTGGATTCTTGCTGCGCTTGAATTCATCTAAATCATGTATATTCCTCATCAGTTTAAACTGTTGTTTAAGGCATGAAGAGCTCTCTTGTCAATCATCCGTCTTCTTTTCTCGTTCTCGTGTAGCTGTGGTATTTTTCTAGTCGACATTATGATTACGGATTAGATTGGTTTTTGTTAACATACTAAGTTTGTATCACTCGAAGTCTGTTGAGTCGTATTAGTAGTCATCAAAAAAACCTTTCTGTCCAGGTGAGACAATTAACCACACCCGCTGACTATCCTGGTCGTCAAAGTAATTCAATTCTTAACTTCAGGTTCAACGTATTAAAAAAATAGCTTACGAATACCGACTTTCCCTTTCCAATCTTGGCACATGTTTCAGTGTATCTATTCCTAACTATTTATTAAACGCATGACATGAACGACAGGAATCCTAGGAGTGAAGCCGAAATCCGGCATAGGTTGATCTGACCGGCAATAAAAATAATGTTGCAACTATCGTTCGTTACACGAAGTCAATCAGCAACTTGTTTGAAGACTTGAATACCAAATACTGATTTCCAGTCACTCCTGACCTCCTTTCGGAGCACAGGCAAATAAAGATAGAAAGCAGACTGGTTCGAAATAGTAAGAACAACAGGCTTTATTATGTTATATTATACATATAAGTATTACAAACAGCAGAAAGTTAAGCCAGTAAATAACTAGGTAAATTGGTTGCCCTAGGTTGTCCAGTCATACTTGCTGAAGAAACCAACAGTTTAAGCCAATCAGAGGTTTCCTACAGCTTAACCTGCAAAACTATACCTATTTTAAGATTAGGCAATAATCTGGGGTATCCGACACCTACCCCTACAAAAAAAACAAGGCATGCAACGATTATGGAAATTTTTCGGGTACTGTAGAAGTATACTATCTGAGAACTGCGCTTGGATAGCCTTCCGCGTAACAACATGGGTATTGGATATCGATTATGTATCTAACATGACTTCTCGGTTCGCACTTATCGAGAGTTACGTAATCAGCGACCAATAGTAACCAAATTTCAGCTTATGCTACATCTCCCATTGAACTTATTTGATTTCGTCTATTAATTAATTCATTCAGAGTTGATAGGGGTACCTAACTAACAACAGTAAGCACCAGTCATTGTCAGTGGGAAATATTTGAAGGAAGTTGCCTCTGTCAATTACCTAGGCAGTATCGTTTCAACTACAGGTGGGATGGTTGAGGATGTCAAAGATAGCCGGAATCGAGAAAGAAAAACAGAACTTCTTCAGCCTGAAATCAGTGTGGAAATCTACTGCACTCGGTACACGACTGAAATTTTGAATAACAATGTCAAGTCAATACTTCTAAGTGGTTCAGAGACTTGGCCACTGAATGACCAAAAGCACTTCGAACAGGCTTCAGACTTTTATTAACAGATGCCTTCACTCCACACTGAAGGATTGGCAACAAGGGAATCTTGCAACTGGCCCACCAGAAACCCATCGTCCATTAGATATGAATATGATGAATTGGACACAAACCGAGGAGGCCGATGAGTGGTATGACGGGCTAAGTCATCGAGTGGAACTCGGATGGGAGGACGAGTCAGGCAGTGGTTCTAGAGTGACATGGAACAGGTCCTGTGGGGAATATGAAAGCTTACAGGCAATCGGGGAGCCAGTTGAAAAGGAGTTTAGTGAGCAGGATGAAATGGACATGTGCTACTGAAGCTCAATATTCCATTCCCAACCCCATGGAATATCAGTAGTATTCACTCAGTACTCATTATCTCTTGTTTTAACTTACCAATTAATGACTATTTCAGGAATAGCTGTAAGCTAGTAAGAACCTTAGCAGCATTTTTTCAAAAGAATCTCAATGAAGTAATAATTTTGAAACGACTTATTGTCTGTTTGATTAGTTTTATTTAAGCATCACTGTAGGGAATACCTATCTTTTAAGCGATAGTAATACTCTTCTCATTTTGTTCGTCATCACCCAGCGATGGAACCCGGGACTTTCAGCTTACCAAGTCAGTGGATTGATTATCTCCCCTCAATTTTATAAATGTCATTAGTTTATTTTCCAAACATATGTGTGTTGGTTTCGAAAACTTCACATTTTTCTTAAATACTATATATAATTAAATATATCCATAGAAACGTTAATGTTATAAGTTGAAAAGTAACTTTTCTAATGAATTAATACAGCTCTGAATGCAGTTAAGAACGAAGTGGACATATAAAATTAAGCTCTCGGTCGATTAAATAATATTAGGTGGACAAATTTAAAAGTAAAATACACAAATAAGCAAACGAATTGTCAGTGGGATCATCATTATCTTCAATAGAAAAGTAGCTTTCAGCTTCATAAATCCTGGATATTCCAACGTTTAAAAGTCGAAAGTGAATAAAATACGATTTACTGACAATCACAAAGTAATAAATTATTCTTTCATTTTACTGTTAATATTTCTGTTGTTCATATATTAGTGAGCTACTTCATGAGGTAGTTTGGCGATTGATTATTTTTAGTTAATTAGCCTACTGTATTATTTCTGAATATCTGTGATTCACCATTAATACGTCTGGATCGTTTATAATCAGCCTCATTTGAGTGAATTCGAGATATCAACCCTAGTAATATCGAAGCACTCAATGAGTCTATGTACCATAATGAGACAGATCAATTCGGTCATAATATATCAACCGGAAATCAAACATGTTATAGATAAAAGGCAGCTCTCATGGCCTGGTAGATAATATTTTGGCATTTGAAACAATAACTGCTTAGTTCATGTCTCAGGGGAAACATTATCACTCACTAGGACATAGATACATTCACATGGTATGACTGAATGAAATGCGACGAAATGTACCTCTGCTGGATTCTACTGTAATATAAAAGTTAATTGGTGGATGGTGACTAGCAGTGGAATCCCGGATGTTCATTTCGTCCGACTTGGAACTCGTCATCTGGATGTACTTGCATTCCCCAGTAAATGATGGTGTTTCCATCGGGCCTCAAACCTAGTGCCCATAGTTTCAAACTGCAAAGCGTTATCCACTAGACAACTTAGGCCACGAGAGCCGATTCTTGTAAAACGGGTCATACTAATTATTTAGTTCACTTTTAGATTTTTTTTGCTGTCGATTGATTAGACCGAAGTGCTCTGTCCTAAGTTAACATGTCGGCTCTTTGTGCAGATGCTTCGACGATGTCTGGTCATGTAACTAGAAGTTAACTGGTGGATGGTGACTAGCAATGGTGATAAGAAAGTTATTACAGTAAGAATTAATACTGTTTGCACTGTCTAGATATGAACATATCACACAGGTCTTACTATTAAAGAATACAGAAATAGACTTCATCGCATTTTGAACTCTATTATTTGTAGCCAACGTTAGAGAAGTTCATTTAAAGAGAAAAGCATTTTTATTCAATAAATGAAATATTTCTCTAAGATTGGTGAAATTCCAATTATTGAAGTACAATCTGAAACAAAAGTGCAGATATATTATTATCGTTATTATTATTATTCTAGTTATCAATTTTATATATAAATGTAAATTAGTGATAACCACCTAGATGACTGTATTTTCAATCACAATCATAATCGTAATTGTAAGTAAACAATATAATAATTTTTAACAGGTAGCTTTCTTCTTTGTATATATATAATAAGCTATTAAATATTGAATCGAAGAACAAGTCAGCTCTGTTTAAAAGAAAGAAGTGTTCAAATAACTAAAAAAGTTATTTCAAAGAAGGAGAGAGGGAGAGACAAGGAGAGAAACTGGTTAAAGTGGGCAACAACAATGGAAAAACAATGCGAAAGGAGAAAAATGTGACAGAAAATAAAGGATTACATGAGAATAAGCCACAATACAGCGTTAAAACTTATCGAAAACAAATAATCTATCGAATTCTGTGCGCTTTCATGAAGTACGTGAGAGACACAGAGAGAGGGAGAGAAAGAAAGAGAGAAAGGGAAACAATTAGCAGATGCAGAAATAACAAACGATATACTTAAGCAGCAACGACAGCAGAATAGAAAACTCCTGGCAGTCTCCCACCTCCTCCCGCCTGACACACATACTCACTCAATGAAATCAAGTAGGTATTTAAAATGAAGATCAGTTTTGGTAAATCGAACTTTATCATCATTTTTCCTGTTCTTTTCGTCGTCATCATCATCATCATCATATACATTACTCATCAATAATCATACTAGTATTAAACGTAGCACATAGTGTTATTACATGATAGTAAAAATAAGCGGGGGGCGGGGGGGAATTCAATGACAGAAAGATAATAGTATATAGATGTATTATTATTCAAATATAAAATATTAAGCAAAGACAAAGAAGCGAATGGTTTACAGTTGCATAAGACTTATACATTACTAATGACATAATTATTATTGTTAATATTATTACTATTGCTTGTTTTAAAGAGTTAAAGTGAGTGACAGACAAAGAACACGATTTCAATAAAGCATAATGACAATCCAAATGAATGATAACCATGTTGTCCCAAAAGAATTTCTTCAGAATAACCAAGAAAAGAGAGACAACATAATCGATTAGAAGGGGGAAGTGAGTGACAAGTTATCAAGAGCGGCAGGGACTGAGGCTCTTTCCTCTATCTCTGTGTGTAGAGAAATAAGCAGTTTAAACAACAAAAAGAGAAACAAACAAACACAAATTCATTTCCGTATAACGTATATAAGGAAAATATGTATCCAACACCTAGAAAAAACTCGATAAAATACATAATTTATTCGTTTAGATGAATAAAAGTTCATGCATAACAAGCTAAATTCGTTCATAGTACATATATATATGTGTGTGTTCATATATAAATATAAATATGTAATTGTCCCAATTTGTTTACACTCTATTAATTAGTTTTCATCAGGTGGATAAATGAAGTTTGAGGCGAGAGAGAGAGAGAGACAGAGAGAGTAGGGGCGGGGTTAAATATGGTTTCGTTAACGAGGCAAGTACACACGTACATACAGACAAACTCTTACACAACACACAGGCATACACACACTCAAACACTAAGCGTTAGTACTGTTTGGAATAGGCATAATTTTTGTTTCATTTGTTGGCGTTGAAGTTGTCAGTTTTATTTGTGAATTATGATTACTATTCGTTGATGGCCAACCAAGACGTTGTCTACGTTGTGCAGCTTCACGTGTTGCTTGAACTGCTGCTTCATTGGCTTCACATAACTCCTTTATTACACTGTCTAATTCACTTAGGTATCGACGTGAATCATCTTTTGTTACACGAGTTTTATTGACAGCATTATTTGTAAGTGAATTATTATTATTATTATTATTAGCGCTGGTGATGGTGGTGTTGTTGTTGTTCGATAATGAACTATTATTACTGTCTTGTGATCGACGGGTAGTTGACTTTTCAGCACGAAATACTGAGTCTACTTTAATAGGCAGTGGGATTGGTTGAACAACTGTGTTCATTGTCGGTGAACAAGTCACCAATGTACCAGTAACTGAAGAAGATAAAGAAGAAGAAGAAGTAGTGGCAGGATTCACAATGGTAGTATTTGGATGAGGTCCTCGTAGATAAAAAGAAGCTGAACTAATTTTTGAATTGTTGAAATTAGAAAATTTACTTGCAGCTTGCTGTTGTTGTTGCTGTTGGTTTTCAGAATAACCGCCAGCTAATGGAATAGAAGAAAAAGAATAACAGTAATTAATTAACTTTGTTACATATTAAAATACAATTCCATACGATTAAAATATAAATCTTGGTCATTTGATAAGGATGATAAAGCCAGTCAACAAGCATGGGACCAGCAAAATAACACAGGCGCTGATTACTGTGAAATCACTATGAAGATATACAGTACTCAGAATAGGGAAAAATATCAGAATTCTCAACGCGGATGTCAAGTCAATGGGAGAATTGGCGCGTGCATCATCAGAAGTATATCTAATAAGCTGTATACTTTAGCCAACACACTGCTTCACTTGTTATTGAAGATCACATGACCAGCCAGAAAAGATAAATAAACAACACGAAAATACGGCAGCTAACTGGCAGAAATACATGGATGCAGATTGCAAACACTTTGATAATTCATTTAAGTGGGATTACATTCTGCGAACTCGAGTAGAACCCAAAAGGAAAGCGACAAATTGGACGTTGGTCTTACGGCAGTGTGGATGAGATTATGTGAAAGTGAAATCAAAGCTTGTGAATAATCGTGGAGTCAAATGAAAAAAAATGGCAGAGAACAAAGTGCAGTGGAGATGTGCAGCTGAAGTCCCATGACTCACTCGAATAATAATAATTGTATGTTATATACCCCCTAATTATGCTCTAAGCCCCAGTGAACATTGTACTTTAAAATTACTAGTCGAAAATATATAGACGACTGACTGGCAGCGGACTAACTGACGTTCTCAAGAATAATAAGAATCAACGAAGAGAAGTAAATTTTTCACGATATAGTATTAAATGTTTCCTTAATTAATATTCACTTGATTCTTTCTTCTCTCTTTTTATTTGATCATCCTGTTGTAACTACTTCTGCAAAACGTTCTACACTGTTTTTTTTTGTCCACCATACGACACACAGATGAAGTGAAGATTTACTACATACTTTAAAGTTGGTTGTTGAATTCATTTTATTCCTCGTACTTTGCGAGTGGAACATAGGGCTTCGGAGTTTCATTAACGCTTGTGGTGACTTTATGGGTCAAAGTTGCTAACCTCAAGCTCAACCGTCCCTATTCTCCAGACTTATTAACAGCTAGATGAGGTTTAGGAGTTCATCAGCCGGGAATTGAATCCCAGATCACATAAGTAGATGGAGGGTACTCTACTCCAGAGCCACCGCTGCTGCACAAAGCGCTGCCACGCTAGGAGTCGAATCTGGATCGCCTCTGGGTGGCAGGTAGGAATTTTAACTGCTATGGAATAATAGGAATTTTCCCCAGAATTATTGTCCAGATACCATTTTGCCATCTTTAAAGTACTGAATAAAATATTTTGAAAATATGCCGAAAAATATAACAGTAACACAGAGCAGTTTGACTATTTTGTGAATAACATAAAGTAGAGTAGTATACAAGGGATATTGTTTATGACATTTATTAATAGGCCAATAAAACTATTTGTCATTAAATTTAATTACAGGTTTTTTGGTAATAGACTGCCTGCTTTCACTGAAAAATATGTATGATTCACTCTCTCGCGCTCGTAAAAGAGGGGATTCCCGTTAAATCATTAACTGATATATATATATATATATATATATATATATATATATATATATATAAACAAAGCAAATCTTAAGCAAAAACAAATGAATTTGTTTAAATCAGGGAGAAATGGCCTGTTTTTTATTGTCTAGACTACCTACTGACATACGAATAATATTCAACATGTTGTTGTTAAGCTAATCATCCAGTATATATAAAATCATAAAAATAAACTAGGACTTGGACGGAGTTATCTTAGAGGTACTTGAATATGGCATAGTAACAGTGTCGGATACTGTCATGACATTTTGAGAAAAAAAAACAACTCTAATTAGTGTGAACATGTATACACAATGATGAATCATTATTCATTCAATTAAGCTAGTGATTATTTACGTCTACTGATATTCCTTTTTTTCAAAGGACAGTGACAATCACATATTATAAGGAAAGTAGTAAAATGTTGCTGAAGATAAAGCAAATGTATGAAAAAAGTGAGTAGGTGTAAGATAATAGTTCGCCATTCAAGTAGACTTCATCAGTTAGTCAGAAAACAAAGAGACAGATGGTTTCATTGGAAATGAGGGTCTAATTTCTTATTACCAAGTATTAGTTTTGTAGGCATTTTGTTTGAATGGTTGGAGGATTTCATCATGAGCCGAAATCAGTTAGAGAAACATTGGAAAACCTGGGATTACTGGACAGCTGTTTCCTCCACCCTAGTTTGGGACTCTTCAACGGTACGCACCCCTGGGGTTCAAACCTAGGACCTTCTGGCTACAAGGCGAGCTCGCAGATCACTAAGCCATTCGATCGGGTCTCAGTAACTTAGTGGTCTACGAGCTCACCTCGTAACTAGAAGTTCCTGGGTCCAAACCTCAATGGGTGCGCAGTGATGAAGAGTCCCAAAATAGGACGAAACAGTTGTCCAGCACGCCGAGATTTTCCAATGGTCCTCTAACTGATGTCAACTGATGATGAAATCCTCTAACTAATTTCTTATTCTCATGTTTTGCGATAACCAATGCATGATCCATCGTTAAGTCTGTCTCTTAGCTTATTGTCAACAGTAATGAAAAGTTTAGTAACGACCAGAATATGTCAATTTATAATTTAAAATATACTTATGTGATGATGAACGCTTTAAGAAAACCTGAAAAAAGCCATCAAAAGAGACATTCACATAACTCCTGTATCTATCTCTGTGTCAGTTGATGACATTCAGTCAGGAAAACAAAATTCATTGCATGAAAATGAACACACAACTTGGGTTCCAGTCATTATTTAATTTGAAGAGGAAAATGTTTTCAAAAGTCTACAACGATTTAAACTAATATTAACTGATAAGTTAGACTGTATAGAAATTTAACTGCATTTAGCCAATATAACCTATTCTACTTAAATGATTTATGCGAATCATTGCTGGCATCTTTCCATCACAACCAACCAGCGCCTCTTTACACGGCTAAAATCGACAGTAATCACACTCTAGATAACACTGCTCAACAAGAAAGGGTATAGTTCAGAACGTATCACATGTAGCTAAGTCACTTCCATCAACGATTATTCGCAGACTGACCTATTGACTTATCGTAGCCAACACTCTACTTTCAGTATCAATACTAATTATAGTCTTTATTCTTATAAAGTAACTAAGTTAACGAAGGATTTATGATAAGAAAAGCCTTAGTGTTTCCATATATTTCACTTTAATAGGTTACACTTCACATTCGTGAGTTCTTCTGCATTCCCAATGAGTATTTAGACCTCTTGCTAGCATAACAAATTAAGCAAGCTGGAAAATGTCAAAAGAGTTTCTTTTACCCAAGCAGAGATTTGGTCAGTGACAGTCGCCTACAGCTGGTGACACTTTCGAGGCAAGCAAAGTCATCAGCACAAACGACCTTTCTATTCCCAGTCGTTATTTTGATATCATTTTACATTTGAAAACGAAAAAAAATTAGCGCTGCACACACACTCACTCATATTTATGTTCAGTGTATTCTATATGTGTTATGTATGCCATTTTATTACTGTCTCCATTCAAAATAGGACTACAAAATTACTAATCCCGTACTTTATGGCTTACAATCATGGACATAAACACTGTCACTAGTTAATGGACTTTGATTTATTTGATATTGTAGCTTTTTGTATACAAGTTATATCCATTTACATGTCTATTTATTTATCTTGACTATTTTAAACTGAAAAAATGTTAATATGAACAAAGTAATTACAGTTAAGAAAGAATGTTATGTAATTTATAACATGTCTATTCATTAGTGGACTTTGTCAACATGTACCGATGTCATTTATCTATGATAAAGTGAGAGACATATAAGGAAATTAAAAAAAAGATACTTATATATTAAGTGATTGAAAATGCCCATTAAAATATTTTCGAAAGAATCGATAGTGAACAAAGAGTACTCTTTTCGATAACCTCATCATCAGGCTCTACAGTTATACATTAAAGTGAATAAATGAACTAGTAAGCTCTCATTTTATTGTTGATATATGGGTAATACCCTTATTCTTTGTGATAATGGTTCTGATAGGAGTACAATAATTACTGAGTTCAATGAAGTACAATCGGCTATGAAATTCACATGCGAAGAGGAATCCCAAGACAGAATTGCCTTCCTAGATGTCATACTTACAAGAAAACCAGATGGTAGCATAAAAAGAAATTTGCATAGAAAGAGCACTTGGACAGAACAATATACACATTTTCACAGCTTCGTTCTTATCAAGTACAAAAGAAATTTAGTGGAGACTTTCAGTCACAGAGTTAAAGCTATATGCTCAGAAGAAGTAATTGAAGATGAATTAAGCATTATATATGATACTTTGATCGAAAATGGTATCCCGACAAATTTATTAAGAAACACATGACAAAGAAAGCTGAAAAGGACTACTCACTATCTGTAGACAAGAAGCCTCTTTATATACGACTACAATTCAAGGGTGATACAATACTAAGCGAGATAATTCCGAAGAAATTAAGCAAATCAGTTCAAAGAACTTTTACTGCTGGCGAACTACACGTATTAATCTCTACACGACCGATGGTGATTCCTCGACTGAAAGATGAAGTACCTAGACTAGCCACTTCTAATTGTATCTATCAACTCAACTGCGCTTGTGGAGCGAATTATATTGGCCGTAGCTCTAGGAACTTGATTTTTCGTGCTCGAGAACATCTCTCAGCATGGTTAAGTAAAGGTGTAGTGAAAAGCATTAACAGTTCGATATTGAACCATCTGGTGCAAACCGGCCGGCCACAAAGCCAGCGTGGAGGAATCCTCCTCTATAATATACCGGGGTGCCAAATAAATTGCCAAAATCATCGAAGCACCGCATGCTCCAAACAGCAGAGGCTATTGAGATTCGCCTCAAACAACCAGCGCTCTGTATCCAAAAGAAGCAAGTCCAGCCCCTACTATTGCCC